TGAATTTTTGGATTCTTTTTTCTAGTTCTGTGAAATAGAGTGTTGGAATTTCAATTGGCATTGCATTGAATGTATATAGCAGTTTCGGTAGTATGGCCATTTTCACTATGTTGATTCTTCCTACCCAGGAGCATAATCCCCTTCTCTTTTGAAGCATGTCCAGTTCTGGGGACCCCAGGGTGGGCTGCCAGCTCCCCGTCTCTCTTTGGGTCTTTCTGAATGACTCTTCTTTCCTCATTCCTCAGCTTCCAGCTCCAGCATGGACCCAACAAAAAGTGTCCCCTCCCAGCCCGATTCTCATGAGGCCTTGGGGCTCCGACCCAAGAGGTCCTGGGGGACCCTGGAGGAGGTCATGTGTCCCTTGTGCAAGAGAACCCGCTCTGGGACCTTGGAGAGGTCATAGGGATACCCGTACCTGGGCTGGGCACAGTGGGGTAAGAACAGCTGAGGAGGAGGAGGCAGCAGTCCACAGAGGAAGGACTCAGCCCAGCAGTAACCTCCCCACTGGGACGACCCCTGCAGCTGCCCAGCTCCAGACCTGGGCCAACCTCAGGAAAGTACAGGGAGGGGAAAGCCCTGCTGGAGGCACAGAAGAAATGGAAACATGGCCCTGCCCTTGCAGCCTGCCCCAAACCCAATCAGCCTCTTGTACCAGGGAAGCCAGGTTAAGTGGAGAATCAGGCTCCAGAGAGGCCGGGAAGCCTTCAGGTCTAATCACATTAAAAGCTAAGGCCTGCACCTTCCTGTCCATCTGTCTGTCTTCAGTCCAGTTCAGTCAGACAAGCAGCCCAAGTCAACTCCAGGGCACCCTTGCCCTAAGCTGGGGCACATGAGTCACAAGCCAGGTCAGAGGGCTTCTTGGAAGTGGGGGTGCTGAGGTGGCTCTACAAGGTGGACAGGGTCTCAGAGGCCTAAATAGAGGCATCCCAGACCCAGAGTGCCAGGGAGAACAACTGAGACAGAAATGTTGGCCTGGATCCTGCACAGACCCTAGTGAGGGCTCGGTTCAATCTGAAGTTGAGCGACAGTGACCAGAGGAGGACGAACATTGACAGCAGGGTCTTGGACATTCTCCGAAGGCAGCAAGGGCTGGGGCAGGTGTGAGAGGAACATAACTGGCTAGTGGTTCACCCAGCGAGTTTCAGGAGGTGAAGAGGACAGCTGCCTCCCCACCCTTCCCACAACAGATGGACCTGAGAACGGTACCCAAGATAAGACATTAGGGACGCTGCTGAGGAGAGACAGAGAGGCTGGCTGCCTCTGCCACCCACGGAGGCTTGTACGAAGCTGCTGTCAGGGTCACTGGACAGAAGCGAGACATCCCACAAGCCAGCAATATAAGATACCTGGAACCCAAGGGGGCCTGATCCTCTCTTTTGAACATAGTAGGGTTTCAGGAGCAGACTGCCCCAGCCCAAACCTTAGGATGCCCAGGCCATGGTCATCAGTGATCACTTAGGAGATCCCTGGTAAGCCACATGTCCCCACGTTCTGGCCCTTGTGCAGTCTCTGTTGGTCTTTACCAGTAAAATGTGGCAGAAGGAGCATGTTGTCACTTTTGGGTGGGAGGCCTGGAGGTTTCTAAAGTTGCTATGGGGGAGGTTAGTGGTCACATGAGTCAGTTGTCCCAACTGCCCTACAGTAGGAAACCAACCTAGCCCAGAAAGGACACAGGCATGGCCCAGCTCACCATGGGCAGCTCAAGGTATAGATTCTTCAGCTCTTTCTGACAGAATTGTAATGATACAGACGCTGGTTAGACTGTTGAGTTTGGGGGTATCCTGTAGCCATGGTCTAGGCTTGTTCTCCCAGAAAAGCCACTTGCAGCTGCCACATGCTGGTACCAGAGGAAACTGCCCTCTAGACAGTTCCATTCTAAAGCCTGAACAGGTTTTCTTGAAAAGCACTACAAATAGACGGAGAAGCAGAAAAGCAACTGTCAGGGCACACTGGGAATTGGTCAGTGTGGAGGAACCCCAAAGGCTCCCATACTCATGGAACCGTGCCTTGAAGCACCCTTGTCTATGATCCTACAAATGCCGGTGAGTTGGGAGCTTAGTGAGCTGTAGTTAGTCCTGCCCTTAGGGAGACGGTCCTAGCAGTATGAGGGTTTGTGTGGGTTGCTGCAGTGTCCTCCAAGCTGGACTCTGCAGGCAATCTCCAATGGTGTACACAGGGACCAAGGAGACCGAGCCTTCCTGGTAAGGGACACAGTCTTTATCAAGGTTCTTAGGAGGTTTCCTTTCAGCCTAGGGCAGAGCTGGCTGCCTCTAGGCTGGTCTCTGTCCTAATTCCTGGGGAAGCTGTCAGGGGACTGCACTTCCTTTCTGTTTTCTGGCCCAGTTCTGTGGTGGTGGGGCTTTGGTGAGAAGCCAGGAACAGTTACCACAAGGTCACCAAAGCAGGGTGGCTGAGATGCCTGACAGGTGGGGGAGGCCATGACCGCCTTGAGTAGAGGTGCTTGGGGCCACCTTGCCTGGGCACAGGAACACTTGTTCACAACAGACCAAGGGCCCTCAGGAGTCATCCCTTCAATTTCAGTGCTATGCCTTTAGCAAGGGTGACATTTATTCTTGCCTAAAGACTTCAGGCTGTGCAAATCCTACCAGGACAAGCCCAGCAGGACTATCTGGTTCTATCTTCCTGTGTCCACATCCAGCTGTCTGACCTCAGAGCACCACCAGGGCAACCTCTTCTGGCAGTGACACCCACCTCTGCCCTGACTGCTTTGCTAGGTGCCTCTCTCTCAGAGGGCACTAGGATGGGGGCACATCCCTGTCACTGGTTGAGTCTCCCCATATAAGGTAGCACACATGGTTCTAGCATCCTGGTGGTGTAGAAGCAGCAGCATCCACTGTTAGCTCCAAGATACACACCAAGGTTAGTCAGTGTGGCTAGCTGAGGTGGTAGAGACACTGACCACTGGAATACAACCTGAACAGGATAGCAAGCAGGTGAAATACAGAACTGGAGGGAGGTAAAGCCATCCTCTAACTCTGGCACTGTTCCCAGTGCAGGACTGGAGAGGGTATTGTCCATAGTACAGCAGATGAAGCCAGCCCTGGCCCACAATCTGTGATGACAATAGGAAAGAGCTGCTCTTTCATGGGAGTCATGGTGTGGCTCCCACTCAGGTCTGGAGACTAAGCCATTCTATAAAACGTACAAAATGTTCAGGGGGAAAGGGTAAGAGGCAGTAAGAGGTATGACCCAGATGCCATAGTCACAGAGCCAGACAAACTACATTCACCACCTGGGACATGGCCCAGAGCCTGAGATGATAATAGGAAAATACTTCCTGGTTCTTGGGCTCTGTTCTCAGCAGTCTGGAGTCCAAGCCATTCTCAGGACTAAGTTGGAGACAGAAGTGGTAGTTGACAAATCAGTCTTAGCTCAGGCTTCTGCCTCCCTGGTACTCTCATCACAAACTGCAGTTCTTGGTAACTGCCCAGCCCAAGCCAGTTCTCACCTTTGTACTGTGGATGCAAGCATGGCAACCCCCCAAGGGTGGCCAGGTTTACAGAGAATGGTAAGAACTCCTGCCTGTTTGGCTGGCCCAGAGCCCTTGGTGGCTGAGGCTGAACTGCCTTTGGAGCCTTCTCTAAGCCAGGACAGAGCCCACCTGTACTAGGCCCCAGCTTGAGGTCAAGAGCCAAAGAGCCAGCTTGACCTGAGATGGGCAGGTGGTTGAGAAACCTTCAAATCTAGGATCAGCCACTTAGGGCTTTCAGCTCTAGAGGTCCTTTCCCAGGTTCTCATTCCTCAGCAGGGCTAATTACCAAGTTACCCCCAACTGGCAGAAACCATCTGCAGGATACCAGCAGGCAGCAGCTCCTGAGTCCTCAGCAACAGCTTGGTGGGGAGGGGGGCAAGGGTCCCCAGCATAGTGAATGAGGTGCTGGAGACAAGAGAAGACCAGTTACAGTCTATTTATTCATAATGAGACAAAACACTAGTCTATTCAATACTGGGCTGGGCACTGCTGTGATTAGAGGACAGGAGGGAGGGCAGGGCAGGGCCTCTGAGCTGGATTATAAATGTCCAACGAAGAACCTTCTGGAAGATGCTCTTTGACCACATGGAACAGAAATGAAAATCACATGATCACTGTTGAGGAGAGAGGACTCAAATATGGGGGCCTCAGCACACAGCTGATGCTAGTCAGCACAATTTGGGCCACCCACTGGCCAACACTGTTGAGGGAGGGGGACCTTTTTCCTGCTTGGGGCCTGCCTGCATGACAAGGACCCTGTGAGGCTGCAGGGAGGCCTGGTCCAGGAAGAAAGCACTCAAGTCACTAAGGGCCCATCTTTAGAGCTGTTCCTCTCTCTTCTTCAGGCTGCATGGCAAGGGACTGAAGGGGCATTCTTCCCCAGTTCCTACGACACAGCAGCAAGTAGCCTAGGGGTCCAGGGTAAGGGATGCTAGAAGTGTGTGACATATGCATGATTTATGAGGATGACGCAGCCTATGCTCTTGGAGTCTAAAGGGCCATAAGCATAGACTGTCTCCTGCCTGTAAGACCAGGCCACACCAGCCCATGGCAGCAGGGACAATGTGGGGCTTGACCTCCTCTTGTATCTGGCCAGGCCTTGGAGCTTTAGCTCATAAAAGACAGGCAGGGCAGGGCCCCAGGAGCCTCACCATTACCTGTCTGCAGGCCAGCTCCCAGCACAGGTCAGCTGCATGGAGCCAATAGACAGGATGATCTCCCCAAACAGTGGGAAGTACATAGCAGGAGGCCACAGAGGAGCAGAAAACTGTCCCATGGTCTATTTGCCTGAGCCAGAGGCTTTGCTCTTGTGCAGAGCTATGCCCCTTCTACCCACCCCTTGCCAGCCTCTCAGGCTTCTTCAGTCTGGTCCTCAACAAAAGGCCTGGCATTCCCTTGACTGCAGTTCTATTGTTCTGAGGTTCCTATGTCTTCAGGCTCAAGAGTGTCCACACGCTGTTTCTCCTTTGCAGCAGAAAGTCCAGTCTGGCTTTGCAGGAAGGAGTTAACAGGAGGGCAGTGCAGTGGGAGAGGCCCAGCACAAGTGCAGTAGGTGGAGGCAGAAGTTTCCAGAAGCAATGAGGAGAGCCAGGGAGCCTGGAGGAAAGAGAACAGGGTAGGATAGGATGAAGGCACTGGAGAACACATACCCACACTCCCTGTGGGATGCACGCCCAGAACATAGTCCCTTCTCCAGGCCCATTAATTTCTGCCATTGGCCACCAGGCTCCTCTCAGTCCTAGCACAAATAAAAGCAGTGAGAGCTCCACCCTTGGGATATGCACCCCAGGGAGCCATAGAGGCTGTCATGTAAGCATGGTTCAAGTCAAACAGCATCTGTTGTGGGTACACAAGGGGGTGGGCTTTGGAGTCCTCATATTCCTTCTAGCTCTGGTGTCCTTTGGACCTGGTGTCCAGCTCTCAGAGGCATTCACACACACACACCAGAGTGGCTGCTCCCAGGCCAAAGTTTCACCTCCATGGTACCCACCAGAGCAAGCCCACACAGAACTTTGATATATGTGGAATTTCTGGAAACAGACCAAAGACACAAATGTTTGTGGCTTATACCTAGATGTTTCCCCAACGTGGTCATAGGTGGTCAAAGGTGAGGATTTTGGCAGTGGCTGGATCTAGGGGATGTGACACTGGCATTAAGGGGCCTCACCCTGGGAGTGAGTGCTACCCACCCTAAGGCAGGTCACTTGGATGAAGTATAAGGGACAGAAAGAATGCTTCCTGCTGCTTCTATTGTTTTGCTGCTTGTCTGCTGCTGTTTCCCGCCTGCTCCGTGATGCTCCTCTGCCATGGAGCCAACCAACTATGGACTGAAACCTCTATAAGCTGTAAGTCAAACTTTTCCTCCTTTACCTTTGGGTGTTGGGTATTTGGTCTCAGCAACAAGAAAACTAAGACAAGTCACTGGGTACCTATAGCAAGAGGAAACTGAGCAACTGGGGGATATAGGTAGGTGGGACTTGAATTTTTGAATCATATGATTACATGACTTTACCAAAAATAAATAAATCAATTCATGAAGTAAAAAGAAAGTTTTAGCCAGGGGCTCAAGGTGTCTGTGTCAGCTGGAAACTGTTCACAGGTGCCTGTCTGCAGACTTTTGTGTTTGCTGTTGGCAGTGCCAGGCTCCCCATGACCCACTGTCCCAGGGTCTAACAGCCTGCATCAGCGGCTAAGCCCTGGAGCTCTGGTCTTTTGTGGAGAGCTATGCCCCCTCTACTCACCACTTGCCAGCCTCTCATGGAGAGTTGGGGGCTGCTCCTACCTGTTGGAGACTGGATGCATTCTCTGATCCTGAGCCCATGTAGCACCGGGCCTGCAGCTGGGGCAGGCCTACAGGCCAGCAAGTGGCCGCCATCTCCTTGGGGAGAGCAGCAGAGGTCAGATGGACAGGAAGGTGGGCTCTGCAGGGTGGTAAGGTGTGGGGTCTGGTGGAGGCTGCCCCACTGGCATCACATGGTGCGGCTGTACTCGATGCCGCTCTTGGTGGAGATACTTGACCATGGCAGGAAGCTGCAGAGCAGGCTGTGGGCTTGGCGGTAGATCCTGTGTGGGATGGAGCAGGGGCTCAGGTTGGCTAATGCTGAGCCCAAGTGCTGGATGTAGTCTGTGGGTTCCGTCAAGGAAGACTGACTTGTCTCCTGTCGTGCCTATCTGTGCTGTTCTCAGGGGCCCACTCAGTGATCCACACAGCACTGTGTACAGAGGACTCAGGGGCATTCAAGAGCCCACTGTATTATTAGATAGCTTCTGTTTGTAGAATAAGGGCCAGAGCCTGAGAACCAGATCACTTTCTGGGTAAACCCTCAGGTGAACAAACAGGACACCCTCACTAAGGTGACATATAGGGAGGGGCACTGATGCCAGGCAAAATATGAGTAAGTATTCCTGGTTCTCCCCTAGTCTCAACCCTCAGCACAAGAAGAGAGACAGAGCTCTATCTCTATGATGAGGGAGATATCAACAGTGTTAACCCCAGGATGCCTCGGTATCCACAGGGAACTGACTTCATGTGAGCCAAGAGGCTTACAAGGCTTGAGGTTGAGGTTACCTCCCACTTTCCTCTTTGATGCCTCTGAATAAATGAATCCAACTCATTCACTTAAAAACCCACATGCACTCCCGCTTGGTACCCTCTGGACCACATGATGACTGCTGTGATATCTCCTAGCTGCCTCCCTGCACAGGAAGTTCTGTTCAGTGCTGACCCAGCACACCTAGAACCAGGGGCTCTCCATCAATACTTACTGACGGGGTAGATAGATCCTGGGCCAAGAGAGTTAAAACCATCACGCTTGCCAGGCTGAAGACTGGGAATACTGGGTGCCAGACAGTACCTGCTCTCCTATCATGAGTGACCAGACTGTTCATACCAGATCTGCCTACAGCAAAAGCCAGTTACCTGACCATGACGTGAAGGTGACTGCCAGACCCAGCTACCTCACTGCCTCCACCAGCACTCTGGCCAGAAACCCATGAGCTCTCTCCACCAGCAGTAAAGGATATAAGATGGTCCAGGGAGGGTGGCCACCATTGATGTACAGAACATAAGTGAAGCCATCTTTGAGGACCCCTCGGATGGAGTAGTAGTAAGGTAGATAGTGATGCTGCCTAAAGTCTCTGTTTTCATAGAAGTTTATCGCTGTGTTGTTGGTGGTGAGGACGTGCAGGTAGATGGCTTTGCAGTGATCCTGGGCAGTGGTTGATATGTGATCCTTTAAACTTTCAAGTAAAAGGGAACCTTGGGAGAAGAAGGTTACACAGGGTAGCACAATTAGGAAGAAGAGGCCATGACCTCTCTGAGTCCTGGATCCAAGACCAGCTTTCTGTTACCTCCTATGGTCAAAGCCCCTAAAAGCTCACCATCAAATGGAGCTCGTGAGCTGCAGTCCACTGTGGGCCACAGGTGTGGACTACAGGTGTCTTCCTGTGGGCCAGATCCACAGTGGAGATGCACCAACTTTCAGACAACAGAAGTGTAAATTGGAGAGCCAGGGATTTAGCTCAGTGGTGCTACACCTGCCTTGCAAGTGCAAGGCCATGAGTTTGATCCCTGGTACTGGGGGTGGGGGGGGAGTGTAAACTGGAGCTCAGGAAACAAGGAATAGATGGGCCTGGGCTCAAAACTAAGACTGCTGCTCAGTACTGTGTGGCTACTGAGTGGGATAGGAATTTGATGCCACGGCAGTTGACAAGTGCTGTTTCATTTATGTTTGTATCTTCTGCTCTGAATCAAGGACATCTTGCCAACAGACATAGCTGTGTTTCTGATGGTGGGAGGAGCAAGAGGGGGTGTTTCTTCATGAGTGACCCATGGGAAGAGGATGGTGGGGGGGGGCATGCTAGGAGGAGAGGGATGGGGGTGTGAGGGGGCGAGGAGGGAGAATGAAAAGGGACGAAAGACTGAGTCACTTATGAGCTGAAGTCACTGGAATAAGGGAACTGACTGCCTTAGGTGAGGAATGTGCCCGAACCAAGAACCGGCAGTCCCTTACCTATGCCATGCTTTCTGAATTCCTTCACTACTCCAAGACTTAGAATGTACGCAACCTGTGTGTCCACAGAGAAGTTGGAGGCTAGAATATCTCCATCCTAAAGACAAAGTTAAGAGATAAAGTTAGGGTAACTTTTGGGGCACAGCGGCTCACAGCAGAGCCTACTGTGGTTTATGCACCCACTTCCTGAGGCCACCCAGGGACAGGAGGGGCAGAACAGAGATGATAAGGCAGAGTCCCCCAGCTGCTCATGGACCAACAGGGTTTGGACCCTGCTGGTAAAAATCTTCTACAACAACACCCCACACATAAAAGGAGCTCTCCTCAGGAATGGGTGAGGACTGGAGGGTCACTATAGGCCAGAAAGTAGCGTTAGGCAGGTGAAAAGGTAACAACAGGGCCAGGGATATAGCTCAAGGGTGCCGCACCTGCCTGGAAAACACAAGGTCCTGAGATGGATTGCCGGTACCAGGGTAGGGGTGGGGAGAGACAACTGTCCATGTGGACATTTAGCAGGTACTCAGCCTGAGGCAACAGACATACTGCAAGGCCACTGGACATAGTTTTAAAGGTTTAAAGAAGTACACACTAATTCTAGCACTCAGAAGGCTGAGGCAGGAGGATAGCAAGCTCAAGGCCAGCCTGAGGTACACAAACCCTTTAAAAAAAAAAAAAATTAAAAAGGCAGGGCATAGTGGCACACACTTGTCAGCCAGGCCCTTTGAGAGGCTGAGGCAGGAAGATTGAAAACTGGAGCCTAACACAGGCAACTTAGCAATACCTTGTTTAAAAATAAAAAAAATCTGAGGATGTAGCTCTGTGCAAAGGCCCTGGGTTCAATCCCCAGTAGCACCCCCCACCCCCGGCAAAGTACACACCGCTTTCCCTTTTCTGCCACCCACATCACTCTATGTGTCTCTCTTGTTCCATATTTGGATTCTCCCATCCCATTCTGCATGGAAGAATCACGAATCTAACCACCACAAGATTCTTAATTTTCTCCTACTTCATAAAGAACTTTTAAAAGGACCTACTGTATGCATGGTTCTCTACCTAAAGGAAGGATACTGGGCAACTCAGCCTTTCTACTTCCTGTCCACAGAGTGGGGCCAGCCTGCTCCCTGCTCCCTGTCTGAGCAGCTCCATGCTGCAGTGAACCTAACATAGCTGACTCAGAGAGAAGGCATCCTTGTTTTTCTTGTTACTTAAAGCCCTGGCTGGAACCATTTAACTGGCCCTGACTCAGGGCTGACTCTCCCTAGCTTCTCAGCAAGGCCTGGGCCAGTGTGGGGGTGCAGAGGATCCCTCTCCTGAGATGTCCCTTCAGAAGCAAAAGGTCTCCATGCCTGTGTCAAAGGAAAACAAATGTGTCAGAGGGGCATAGAAATCCAGTCACCATAAGGAAACAAAGTGAGGGGCAAACGAGACAGTGTCTCACACAAGAGGAAAAACCAAAAGGACACAGACTCTTGCTTTCTTTCTATTGTCTTAGCACTGAACAATGAAAGTAAGTTCAAGAGGAAGCTAGGCCAGAAAAGGTTACTCTGAGAAGAAATCAGAGTATAATTGTATGCATAATGGGACAGACTTTGGTGAACCCTGCTCCTTAAAAGGGAGAGATGTCCCTTCTTCCTTTTTTTTTTCTTTTGCATTGCTAAGGATGGAACCCAGGGTCTCACACATGCTGGGCACATACGTGCTCTGCCACTCCCAGCCCCCTTCTTGCATACTTGAAGAAATAGCCTCAAGCCAAACCAACAAAAAAAATCCCTATTTGCTAGTGGTTGGTGGATTTTCCCCTCCCTGGAGTATGCCTTAGCCAGTCACTGAATTATCAGCAGAACCCTGAAGTCAATCTTGAGGAACAAGAGGTCTGTGTCCATGATCTTACAATTTACATTTAGAGCTGGGACCACTAACCAGGGGGGCTCCAGATTTCCAAATGTCCTGCGAAAGACAGGTGTTGGAGTGGGTCTGTGATATGAAGAAAGCAGATCTTTTTCACCAATCTTAAACTGAAGGCTAACATTTCCTTCAAGAGACCACAGCAGTGTTGATAGTTTCTAGAACATTGCCACCAGCCCAAAGCACAGACCTTTTCATAGCACAGGACAGCCATGCAGTTCTCAGTGTGTCATTCCTGCCCCTTCCTACTTTCAAATGGCCATCCTCAGTAAGCCTGTTAGATCCTGTGACGTAGTGTACCAGCAAAGGTGCACACACTCCGAAGTCACACACAGAGACCAACAGGACACTCATGCACTGCTCTCATCCCTCAGGTCGTAGGCGTAAGACAGAGGGCTGTGCAGTAGGCAGTGTGATTGTCTTGAGCCCCCTGTACCCATCCAGCAACTGTGACAGTCAAAGTCATCACCACACGGACGTACCTCTTTGTGTATTTTGGTCCTGCTCTTAATTTCAGCTACTATCATTCCCACGATGGCGCCTCTATAGGTGGCAGCAAGGGAGAAGAACTTCTTGTTGGATGTGATATCACGATACCATGAGTCTGGGTACCTGAGGAAGGGAACACACTCAGGTGAGCCCATTGTGCTTCTGACAACAGAGCCACAGGGGACCCCAGGTTGCTCTGCCCACCATGTACTCTCCACCTATCATAGCTGTTTTCTCAAAGCAGCCATCTCTCAAGATAGGACTGGGTATTTCTGATGTGAAAATGATTTTACCAGATCTAAGATATAAGAAGGGGAAAAACGCCAATAAAACTGCCTCCCTTGAGCAATTAATGAAGGGCAACAAAAGGCAGCCTGCCCTCAGCCAGGCAAGCTGAAATTTTAGGGGTCTGGGTAACCCATGAACACTTGGGTGACTTCCGATAAGAATTCTGTGACAGTTCTGGACACTGAAGACCAGGAGAAATGATGAGCAAGAGCCCCGTTTGTAAGTGAATGGATCTCAGTTTATAACACTTCCCTGCACATCATCTCCAGGCCAGGAGTGGGGGCTGCACACCAAGAACAAGGCTGAGCCCTATTGATGTTACCTGGTCTCGAGCTGTAACCTAGACCCAGGACTATGTGCACCTTGGCTGGTACACTATTTCACAAGATCTAACAGCAGGCTTACTGAGGATGGCCATTTGGAAGTAGAAAGGGGCAGGAATAAGGAACTGAGAACTGCATGGCTGTCCTGTGCTATGAAAAGGTCTGTGCTTTATGCTGATGGCAATGTCCTAGAAACTACCAACACTGCTGTGGTCCCTTGAAGGAAATGCTAGCCTTCGGCTTGAGATTGGTGAAAGTAAAGATCTGCTTTCTTTGTATCCAACATCACAGATCCCTGCATGGTTGTTATGTGCTATGAAGATGGCTGTGCTTTGTACTGGTGGCAGTGTCCTGCCAATACTTCTGTGGGGGAACCAGAGAGCAGAACACCCAATGTGAAGGCCCAGGACACCACACTAGCAGATCCATCACAACCCCAGAGACCCCTCGTCAGGAGAGGGAAAATATTACAGTTTATGGGCTTTGTTTCCTAAATTGGAGACAGACCTCACAGCCAGAAGAGGTAAAGCAACAGAGAAGTGCTCTGCTCAACTCCGTAAAGACCACTGGCCATCCACCAAAAAGGTTCTTGACAAGACATGAATACTATCCAGGCTTCTCATGAGCCCCAAGAGTGCCCTACCAGCCTTTTGTTCAGGACGTGACATTGCCCTCTCACAGCCCATGAGGTGATGACCATTCCTCCACCATCATGGGAATCTGAGGCCTCAGGGGCATAAGGTTTGTAGAGGTGGCCAGGCTGGTGCCTCAGCAGGCAGAGGCCTCCAGCCCTGTGTGGTTCTCAGCATAGCTTATTTCCCTACAACTTATTTCACTCCTACTTCCCTGGGCTACTTCAACAGTAGGACTGCTGGCTTGAAGAATATTTTTAACTAATAAAGCCAATGCTAATCCATATCCCCAAAAAAGTCATAGGCCCAGAGGTGCATGAGGATCTCTTTCCCTACCTTTTACCAGCCATGTGGGCTCATAAGTCCAACATTAAGACTCATGGAAATGCTGATGGCTGCCAAGGTCTTGTATATTTTTTTCACCTCCTCCTCTCCTCCCCATTTACAAACACTTCATTTCCATTTTTTCATTTTCTCCTATTTTTTCTTTTCCCTTATTACCTTTCCCCTACCCTTCCTACTTTCCCTACACCTTTAGCCCTTTTCTTCCTATTTCACATTGTCAATCTTACATATTATTATAGCTTATTCACACCAGAGAAACTATTTGGAATTTACACATGTGTGACTTATTTATTTCACTTAGGAGTATATCCTCAATATATATCCATTTTCCTATGAATGAATCTAATTTCTCATTCGGTCTCGTATATTTTTAATTTAAAATTTTTTCTCATTACAAAAATTTTATACACATAATATAGAATAATGTTAGGAAAAACAGACAAGCAAAACAAGAAAACTGTGGACACTAATAATCTACTCACTGCACGCTACTCAGAGTTCTTGGTTACAAGATACTGGGGGGGCCTCAGAAGATGATCCCAGAGGTCCTCAGAAGGAAAGTTCCTCTCTGACCTTCTCCTGCCCTCTTATTCTTATCTCTTGCCCTCATTCTCCTGAGGCCAGCTATGGAAACTAACATTTCTCTACCCCAAAGTGGAGAGAGGTCACAGAAACCAGAGGCTCTTTCCCCCAAAGCCAGCCATAAAAACCTAAAATCCTACTCTAACCACCACTACCTTTCTGTGTAAGAGGTGGCTATGACCTATCTTGTCTCATGGTAGATCTAAGATTCATTCCAGAAGGGGTCTAAGCCCACACCCAGAAGGAAGGAATATCAGAGACGCCAAGAGAAATCTCAACAGATAGGACTTGCTATATTTCCTTAATTGATTAGCACTGGGCCAAAGCCTTTTTGTCCTACAATTTCTATACTGCTGTCCCTGCTTCATCAAGCCTATATATAAAAATGGAGGGTTCATTGTGGGTACTTTGGTGTCCAGTCTGAAGGCTCATGTCACATAAGACCACAATCAAATACATTTATCAGGCTTTTCTCCTGCTAACCTGTCCCTTGTTATATAAGAGAACATGTCTTTCCTTTTCTATTGTACATATTCTTAAAAGCTTTTATCCTGTTCATGTTTATAAATCAAAGTGGGACTGTGGAACATACTTTTCCTCTTAATTTGCTTTTTTCACCTAATACCTACTAGTTAAAAAAAAACAAAAAAACAAAGAAACTTTCCGTCAACAAATACAACTTTTTGCGGGGGTACTGAGGACTGAACTCAGGACCTTGTGCTTGTGAGGCAGGGAGTGGAACAAATACATCTTTTTAACAGATTTTTTTTCCCCTTCCTGGTTGCATCTTTTGTTTGTGGTACTTTGCCATTGAGCTATATCCCTGCCCAGTTTTTTTTTTGTTGTTGTTGTTTTTTTGAGACAGGGTCTCACTATGTAGCTGAGACTGACCTGGAACTCACTATGTAGCCCAGGCTGGTCTTGAACTCACAGTGATCCTCCTGCCTCAGCCTCCTGAGTGCTGGTATTACAGGCATGTGCCACCACGCCCGGCCCCGCCCAGTTTTTATTTTATTTTCAGACAAGGTTTCAGTAAGTTGCCCAGCTAGCCTTGAATATGAGATCATACTGCCCCAGCCTCCAAGTAGCAGAGATTATAGACATGCTCCACCATGTCTGGCTCAATACTATTTTTGTATGCACATATCCTATTGCTTGTAAATACTCAATATATAATTAGGATACCTGAATTGCTTCTCAATTTCCTGTACATACATCACCACACTGAACATTTCTGTAACTAAAGCTGCCAGGCAGACCCCTTGGGGGCACTTCACATAAGGAAGGAACTGAGGTATGAGGAGCTCCAGAGCCCCGAGGTCCATATCTAGCTAAGTGACTGACCACAATGATCCTTCTAGGCCTGTCCTTGCCTCTACTGCGTGGTGATGTGCCCAAAGGGACCTCTGTCAGCCCTAACACCTGCAGATCTGAATGTTCTCCCCAATCCCGTACCTCCCCGATCCTGCAGCCCAGGATGCAGGAGCCCAAAACTTACTCAATAGGGAACCAGTCGCTGCAAAGGTGCTTCACAGTGTCTATGTCATCGTGGCAGAGAAGGCGCAGGCTGACCTCGCTGAGGGCACTGGATGGCACCACCTCTGTCATTCACACCTGCAGGGAGAAGAGGAAGTACCACCTAGTAGCTCATTTACCTGTTCCTGTCCTGCACACTAACCCTGGGAAGTAAGCGAGGGACGTGAGCCAGAGAAAATCTTCTCACATCAGCTGGGTGCTGGCTTTGCAATTGAGGGAGCGTAAGTGGGATGAAGCCTCCAGGAAGTGAGACGAGCCTCCATCCAGTCTATCCCTTTTTCCTCTCCACTCTGAGCTGCCCTCTGGGCTCCCCAAGTCACCCCCACACCTCTTGGGCTGGTCATGTCTTCTGACAGGTCGCCCTGCTGCAGAAAGCACAATGGGCCCAGCTAGCTGACTTCTCCCAACCTTGGCCCCAAGGTTGCCAATGACAGATATGGAGCTCAGCAGCCCCCATCCCTTGCTCCCCCAGGAGCAGCCTTGTGGGTTAGGGCCAGTGAATGGCTGGATATTCAGGGCATAGAGATTGGGGCACCCTCCACTTCTTCCTCCTACAGCAAACAGACACAGGCATACAGGGACTCCGAGAGACACTACCAGGTCAAATCAGCCGCCAACACTATTTTTTTGTTATGGTGGTGGGCCTGGAGTTGAATGCAGGGAGTGCTGACCTACACCCCAACCCTTTTCTTGATTTTATTTTGAGATAAGGTCCTGCTAAATTGCCTGGCCTGGCCTCAAACTTCCAATCCTCCTGCCTCAGACTCCCAGAGTGCTGGGATTACAGGCATGGCCAGCTCTCATTTTATTTGAAAGGAGGGAAAATTCAAGTGATGGCCTCTGACAAAAGAGAAAACAGATTTCTTCTTTAGGTTGGAACTCAGTAGTTTATTTAGAAAAAGGATCATTCGTCAGGTCTTTCTACAAGAACTAAGTTCATCCCCAATGGCTGAGGAAAAGTCCTTTTTTACTAAGAATGACAGCTAATACGAGTAAAAACAATGAGATTCAGAGAGTGGTAAAACACCTTGCACCCAGGACTCTATGAAGGCACAAGGAACACTCCGGAGCCATCTAGTCAGCCTCTCCCACTTCTGGCTATGACCAGTGAGAAATGGCCCAAGCCCCTGGGTCTTCCTGCTCCAAATGTTAGGCCAGAACACAATTGCAGTCTTTTTTTTTTTCCAGTTTTTTGAGACAGGGGCTCACTATGTAGTTGAGACTGACCTAGAAGTCACTATGTAGCCCAGGCTAGTCTCGAACTCACAGCAATCCTCCTGCCTCAGCCTCCCGAGTGCTAGGATTACAGGCATGCACATGCACCACCATGCCTGGCGCAGTCTTCATTTGTTTCTACAGCACAGAGGATCAAACCCAGGGCTTCTTCACTAACGTTAGGCAAGTGTTCTACCACTGAGTCACATCTGGTACAGAGCAGCCTTCAGGCCTAATTTCCTGGTCACCAATGATGCAGATTAACACACAACAAACATGGACAACATTTGACATTCTACATTCAGTTTCTTCAAAAAGTCAGTATCATTAAGGGCACAAGTATAGATGAAAAGACACCAGCGAATTATAATGCATAAATCCCTGCAAGAAAAAAATAAAAGTTGAAACAATACTTGGAGGGGACAAACAGGCTGGCCTATGTATTATGAAGCTGCTACTAATTTTCTTAGATTGCACTGAGGTAGAGAGGTAATGTAGGAGAAAGTCTTTTTCAGAAGATGCGTGCCAAAAATATTTTAAGAGTAAAATATCATGATTTTAAGTGGTTCAGGAAGTATGACAAAATGCCATCAACTGTCAGATTTATTGGCCTATAGGCCACACCATGCTACTCACTGTCCTATGTGCAACTTTTCTACATGTATGAAAATTTTCATAATAAATACTGAGGTAGAGAGGACAGTCATTACTTGCCATAGTCCAGGCAGCCATACCCAGGGACCTGAAGGACCTGGATGCTCAGCCCTCACACTTCAGCAAAGCCAAGTGAAGTACCCACAGCAGCTGCTTGAGGTTACTGTGCCTGCTCTCCCAAACATGGCTTGTGCCTGAGCAAGGCCTTCTCCCAGCTGCCACAGCCTGTAGGGTGCCCACTTCATTACCCCAGGAAGAGCTCCAGAAGTTCCACTGGCTAAGTCCGCTGAGTTTCTGAGCTCTCATGGTTATCTCCAGGCTGGGCTTAGACAGGGTGGCCATGCTGTCTGCCAAACCTTTCCAGGAGCAGCACTGGTACTGCATGCAGGGATATCTCACTTTTTCCAGCCCCTAGATGGAATCCAGGGACCCAGTCAATGGCTTCACATGCCCACTGGAAACTTTCCTCCAAGCACCTATCCCCCACAGTTTGAAGGCACCTCTTGACATAAGGGATAAGCTGTAGTGATGGTGAACCTTTTAAAGATCAATAACCCAAACTGCAACCTAAAACCCGTTTACGGGGTCAGGGATTTAGCTCAGTGGTGCTACACCTGCCTCACAAGCACAGGTCCTGAGTTTGATCCCTGGTTCCACAGGAAAAGAAAAAAAAAAAAAAAAAAACAACAAAAAAAAACTTACTACAAAGTGCCAGCACTTCAACTAAACCTGAATACTGAGGTTTTTAGTTTACAAAAAACAACTATTGCCTGATGCTCAGCTACTGGGGGCAACTTGACTCACATGCCGACAGAGGGGCTCTGCATGTCTGCTGCAGCATGCATGCCGTAGGTTTGTACCACTGAGGTAGAGGAAAGGGATCCTATAGAAACACTTGGAGACAGGTGCTCTTCATCCCAGGTCCTCCCAATGAAACAGCCATAATGGCAAAAGTTGTAGGCATCAGGGCCATTTTCATTAAAAGGCATGGGATAGCCAGGCATGGTGGCTCACACCTGTAATCCCAGCATTTGGGAGGCTGAGGCAGGAGGATCGCTGTTAGTTCGAGACCAGCCTGGGCTACATAGTGAGTTCCAGGGCAGTCTCAACTACATAGTTGAAACCCTGTCTCAAAAAACCGAAAAAAAAAAAAAAAAAAAAAAAAGGGCACGGGATGTGTTCTGTATTCCAATATGGATGAACTTTATAGGAGAATGCAAAATTCACTTGGATAAAAGTCCAAATATGAAGCTTCAAGGTGTCACTCTTCAGGAAGAGGTTGTCCCTGGATGTCCTGGGTCTCTGGCCCAGTCACTTACTTCAGGACATGGGTAAGTGAAGCAGTTCAAAGAGGGGTAGACAGAAGAGCCTCAAGACTTGAACAAAAGGCTTGGCTCTGATTTCCTCCCTGTTCATTCGTTTCCTAACCTCAGCTTTTGGTGAACCTCACTCCTCTTTGGCCCTGAAATCACCCTTCTGGTCACTGCTGAAGGCTGCCTGTTGCAGAGGTAGGAAGGTGCTGGACCTGGACTTACCTCTGTCCACAGGGGCTGGACACACACCACTGATCACACTTCACAGGGTGGCTTCCATGTGTTTGAAACACAGAATAGAACCAGAGGAAGAGTTGTCAAGACACTCCCAACATCCACAGGTACATTTCCCATCCCCCCAAATGCTAGGGCATTCAGAATCGGGGGGACACAGATGGGATATGTTCAGTTTCTAGGGGGTCCTGGGCACAGTCTTGATGCCCACAGTGGCACTCTGCTCATACCCCAAGTAAGAAAGCCAGGAACCATCCTACTTTCTAGAGATCTCTTTGGCTGCCCCACACTAACACCCCTAGCCCACAGGGGTTCCCCATCCCAGAAGCGCTACTTCATTTACCAGATAAGCGAGTTACTTGAAAAATCACCCTACTCTCACACTGGCTTCAGAGGGCTCTGGTTCCACCCTCAGCCTCAGGGAGAAGCCTTTGGGGTGGGGCCAGTGGGGCCACAACACCAACCTGCCCTGCCTTTTCTTCTTTCATGGTCATGGCTCATCCCAGGCAAAGCTGGGTAGAGCTCTGTCTACACTGTGCACCATGTGCTCCTAGGCCCTGCTGGGACCTGGAGAGTCCTGGAATCCCTGGGACGATTCCAGTTCCCACATCCTTTGAAACAGTTCTTCAACAAAGTGCTTTAGCTTTCCTAGATGACTCTACAAACTCTGAGTCACTGGAAAGAGTATTCAAGAGGGTCACTGTTACGGCTATCCAATCCCCAGCCAGCGCCACATCTCCCTCCTTCCTGTCCTAAGTAGGGCCACTCCAGTATTTGTAATCTCTTTTGCACTACCAACTCCCCTTTGAGGGGCCGTCAACATACTGCATATGCTCTTTCCTGGACGAGCCTCCCCGCCACTTTCTTTACTTCCAAGATAACAACCCCAAATCCCTGCTACCCTCCCACTTTCCTCCAATGCTCCTAGTTCTCACACTCCCCACCTTCCACTTTGCCCAGGACAACACACCACCGCCATCCCTCTCTGAAATCCAGCCACCTCCCTCAAGAAAGCTCTCTCCAGCCTCTGCAGCTCACCCCTCTGTCCATCCCTTTTCCAAGCTCTTATCTCCCCATCCTGTAACAAAGCACCATCCTAGTCCTTCCCCTTGTCCTGGGCTTCTTCTCAAGCTGAGTACCATCTTCTTCACACACAAGAATTAAAGACCACGAGGCTCCTTGAGAATGTGATGTTCTGCAGACACAAGGTTTATGGACTTGAAAAATCCAAGAAGAATTAATTTTAAACTCTTGCCTCTAGGCTGGGTGGAGGAGAAAAGGAAAAAGACACTAGTTAATAGCAGATCCACTGCCTTGTACATCAGTGAGATATGCTAAGGGCTAAAAGTAGAGGGCAAGTGAAGCACTGGCACATTTGTCCAAATGAGCAGCTGCCTGTGGGTGAGCAAGCTGTCTCCACAGCAGCCCGGGCTTCTTCCAAAACTTCAGTGTAGTAGGAAAATGAATAATTTGTAGGGTGACAAGAAACAAACACCCACTTGCCTACATACTTCCAAATAGCATCCCGTTAAAGCTTCATGCTCTGAGAGGAGCCCATACAGTGTCACATAAAACTTGACACCTCTCTTCAAACATGAATTAATGATCCTGGAGGATTCAGTTTGTATGAAGTTCTGGAACTGATTAAAAGAACCAATGGTA